CTACTACTACTACTACTACTACTACTACTACTACTACTACTACTACTACTACTACTACTACTACTACTACTACGACTACTACTACTACTACTACTACTACTACTACTACTACTACTACTACTACTACTACTACTACTACTACTACTACTACTACGAATACTACTACTACTACTACTACTACTACTACTACTACTACTACTACTACTACTACCACTACTACTACTACTACTACTTCTACTCCGACTACTACTACTACGTGTGTGGACGCACGCGATTGCGAAGCGTGCGTCCTCCTGCCTTGGGCAGGAGGGTCGATACAGCATCCTGCATCCCAGGATGGCCCTGCTGAGGCATGGTGGTGGTGCGTGTAGCTTCCCTCTACGGATCCTGGACCGCCAAATCCGGGGAGCCCGGGTAGAGCGACCAGTCGCCCCAGGCGGAGCCGGTCAAGCCGCCCTCGAAAACCACCCTGGTGATCGCCATCATGGCCAGACGACCGTAGGCGAGGGCCACCATCGGCGCCGTTAGGCTATGCCGTCGGGGCTTAGAGATATGGAAATATGGGAGGAGCTTAGGAAATCAGCTTGCTGAAAGCCAGGGCGCAGGGCGCCACTCGAGCCAGCCGATGACATGAGGGCGATGGCGACGACGACGCAGACGACCGCAGTCGCGACGACATGGGAACTGGCTGCTGACATCGCGTGGGTCGTTCACTCTTGAGCGATCTGCGCACCTGGAGGCCGTTCTGGAATCATGATTTCGGACCGCGGGTCGATTTCCGTGAGTCCTGGGGCCCGAAGAAAAAATACCCTGGGCGCATTCAACCATGCACGCCCACGCTGGAACGCAAGGAGGAGGAGACCCAGGAGCAACAACAACAACAACAGCTTTGCCCAAGGTGTTCGCGGTGGGGTTCGCCCAAGAGGCCTGGGGCAGAGTGGCTACGATGTTAGCCAGCGTGGGCCCAAACCGGCGAATCCCACCAGCACTTTAGGGCGTGAGTGGTCTAAGGAGCTCGTTCTGCTAAACCCCCTTTTTCCCCTTCGGGGAGGGGGTTCCCCCTCCCCCTACCCCCTCCCCCTGGACCTGGAGGGAGGGTGCCGCGAGCGGTTGGAGCGTCCAAGATGGCCCAAGATGGCTCCAAGCGGGTCCCAGAGAGCCCAAGATGGTCTCCAAGATCGCGCAAGATATCCCAAGATGGTTCAAGATAGCTATCAACATGCATCCAAGAGCTCTGGAGACCGCCCCAGGACGGCTCCAAGTGCCTTTCGAGCCCTCCAAGGAAGCCCTCAAGAGGCCAAAATCATTCAAATCCTGTATGTTTTTCCGATGTTTTTTGCATTGTCACCCTTTCGCGCCCGATGGCCTCTTGAGGCCTCAAGATGGCTTCTGGATGGCCCAAGAGGGCCCCAAAAGGGGCCCAGGGGGGCCCCAAGACCGCCCCAAGAACACCCAAGACCGCTCCAAGAGCGGCCCACGAGGGCCCCAAGAGGTTCATTTTCGGGCCCCGACGGGGGGACGCAGTTAAGGACCCCCCCGTCCCCGACTCGACCATGTCCTATTGAATTCCGATTCAAACACAAATAAATGATTAAGGAATTCCTCCGGCGGCTGGGACTCGACCATTTCCTATCGAATTCCTATTTCAGCGTTCCGAAGGATCCAACCTGTTTATACTAAGTCCCCGCGCAGGTCACTCCGATGCCCCCCCCCCCCCCCCCAGCAGCCCTCGAAAGGAAAGTGGCGACAGTTTCGCAGACCGCAGCCCCCCCAGGGATGGCGAAGTCAAATCTGTAGGGTCCCTTGGGAATCCTATGGGGTCCCTGAGGAATCCTATGGGTTCCCTTAGGAATCCCACTGGGGATCCTATAGGAATCCTGTTGGAATCCTATAGTAATCCTATGGGATCCCTTAGGAATCCTATGGGATCCCTTAGGAATCCGATGGGATCCCTCAAGAATCCTATAGGATCCCTTAGGAATCCTATAGGATCCCTTAGGAACCCTATGGGGATCCTATAGGAATCGTACGGGAATCCTATGGGATCCCTTAGGAATCCTATGGGATCCCTTGGGAATCCTATGGGGTCCCTGAGGAATCCTACTGGGATCCTATGGGAATCCTATTGGAATCCTATAGGCATCCTATGGGATCCCTTAGGATTCCTATGAGATCCCTTAGGAATCCGATGGGATCCCTGAGGAATCCTATAGGATCCCTTAGGAATCCTATAGGATCCCTTAGGAATCCTATGCGGATCCTATAGGAATCGTATGGGAATCCTATGGGCTCCCTTAGGAATCCTATGGGGATCCCTTGGGAATCCTATGGGGCCCCTTAGGAATCCTATGGGATCCCTGAGGAATCCTATAGGATCCCATGGGATCCCTTAGGAATCCTATGGAATCCCTAAGGAATCCTACAGGATCCCTTAGGAATCCTATGGGGTCCCTTAGGAATCCTATGGGAGCCCTTAGGAATCCTATGGGATCCCTGAGGAATCCTGTAGGGTCCCTTGGGAATCCGATGGGGTCCCTGAGGAATCCTATGGGATCCCTTAGGAATCCTACTGGAATCCTATAGGAATCCTATGCGGATCCTAAAGGAATCGTATGGGAATCCTATGGGATCCCTTAGGAATCCTATGGGGATCCTATGGGTATCCCTTAGGTACCCTGAGGAATCCTATGGGATCCCTGAGGAAGCCTATGGGATCCCTTAGGAATCCTATAGGAATCGTATAGGAATCCTATGGGATCCCTAAGGAATCCTATAGGAATCGTATAGGAAACCTATGGGATCCCTAAGGAATCCTATGGGATCCCTGAGGAATCCGATAGGGATCCCTCAGGAATCCTATGGGATCCTACCAGGACCCCTTCCGCGGCCGCGGAAGGGTTGCTGGGGT